CCTAACATAATAAATATGCTTTAGCTCTTCTTTCTCAAGGTACATACTTAAGACATAATAGTACGTACTCTTCTGTACGTACTGGTATGTACCCCAGTGCACGTACTTAAAACGTACATTTTATATCATGTACGTGCAGAACCAAAATTGTACGTACTCAAAACGTACTGTGCTATTTGGGTTCGTAAGTTCATGTTCCACTTTTGTTAATAACGCATATTATATTTTCCTAGCTTTTATACAGAAAGGTGAAGTGTTTGGTTTAACTTTTAATGCAGTTTGTAAACAATGAATTTTTCCCATACTTTCATGGAAAACTAATAAATATTTTGTAAGTAAATTGGTAAGTTGTAGTAAATCTACGTAAAGCTGTAATATATTCATTGGCACTTTCCCCTTCATGTTGTTTTCTTTGTGAAAATCTGAAATTTTCCACTATTTCCAACGGTTCAGTTCATCATATGATTTCTCGTCTGGCTTTCCGGCGAAAGCTTATCACAAAGAATATCAAATGCATCTGGACCCATGTAGTGTAGAAGGTATGCGGCTTTCTTGTCTTCTGGTACTACAAAGACATTGAATGCACTCTGAAGGCGTCGTAACCACCGGTCAAAATTCTTGGATGTATCGTAAGTTTCAATGCTAAAAAATACGGTGCAAACTGAATTGCATTGTAGTCTCAGTCATCTTTTAAATGTACCTATATGTAATTGTAAATTAGACAGGATTTCAATTATGTGTGTAAATTATTTCATTATTTGTAAATTTTCAATTTTCACTGTGAGTTACCAAGCTGCAGTTAGGTTATGTATGTATACTGGGCTTAATATTTGTATTTCCTAGTATATTCGACCGTCCCCGTAGCCAAGCTGTTGTATATGTACGTGTAATGTAATGAAAATGGTGTTGAATGTATTTTATGTTCCTTTATTTCACTAATTAAAAAAATGTGTGTGGTAACCATCGAGCAATAAGACAAAAGAGGGAATGTAAAGGTAGAAGGGGTAAACATATTGATAGACAGGAAGTGCCATCTTGAGAGGCCACTTTAAACAAGGAAAGACAGTCTCTTTCCTTGTTTAAAAGTCAAATTTAGTTTGGTTATGTTATTGTTTGTCCCAACTGTCACATGAAATTTTATTTATATTGAAGTTTTTTTACCAATTATGTCACTTTTTAGACTATTATCGTTAATATTTAATTAAAACTTTCTTGTCTGAAAAATATTTACAGGTATTGTTAACAAGTGTTGGAAAATTTAAATTTAGCGCCTTTGCATTTCCGGATATGTCCGCCATCAGAGGCCACTTTTTTGGTCTCCTTTTCATAACGATTAGATTCCCTCTTTTATCTTTTTGCTCGATGGTGGTAACCTACATAGTGACTCCGTACGTAATGTTCGTAATAGTTTCGTTCGCGGTACGAATCCTGGACTCGTTCTGGATTACTTCGCATGCGCAGTGTAAAAATGAGCGTTCGCGCTGATCAAGTTCTGGACTGACAGGGACTGCTAGTCCGGAATCTTGTCGTTCGCGTAACAGAACTTGCAGTTCAGAACCAGTTCAACCGATCCTTGGGATTTGAAGAGAACTCGGAGTTCGTACATGCGCAATAGAAACAATAGAAATTTCAAAATAGGAACATGGAACATTTTTATTATTCTGGTGATTGTCACTCTGAACTTTAAACGGTTTATTGTTTATTCGAGACATTCTGTTGTTTTTCTAACAATGCTCATCTCTAAACTAGACGAACTAGACTAAAGTGTGCTCTAATCTAAATAAAATATGGCCGCTGGCAAAGCGCAAACCAGATGCGTGAACAATTCCCGCCGAGTCGACTGCACCTTCGGGTTGTTCCGTATCAGAACTGAAAATTGTTCAAAATTCGTTCGCGGTGTAAATCAATCCTGAACTGATTATGAACCGCGCTTGCGTACAACCGATTACTACGAGGATTCTAAACGCATCCTGAACGCGTCCAGGATTCGTACCGCGAACGAAACTAATGATGTAGCATTGACATCTGTCAACGTCCAAGTGTCATGTCATAGAACTAATAAAATGTCAAGTATATGACAGTGTCCTATCGACAAATATCAAAAATGCGTTTTAAAGTTGAAGAGTGCAGCTTTTATATGAAATTTTTGTATTTTGCCGCAAATGAAGTCAGTTTTTATAAAGGTATTAGATAAATAGACGTTCAGCTAATTTTTGTCGTTTTTTACGATTCTCATGAGATCAAAAAATTATCAGTTTCATTGACTGATTGTAGTGGAATTTCCATTATTAGAGTCTAATCTTCAAAACCTGAATGTACGATGTAAGTAAGAAATACTTACTAAAGGAATTATAACAAAGCCAACAGACAGTGGATATAAGCTGGCTTAAAGTTTCCTAATAATTTTTTTTATGTAATAACTTAAACAAAACTTATAATATATAACAAGCGAGTCTTCTACAGCTGGCGCCGCTTCTCGCATCCTAATTTCCAGCGTTTTCTATCGAAGCAATCTTCAGTTGTTAGATCTCTGACGGTCATTGCATCGTCGACATCGTCTCTTCAGGATCGTCTTGGTCTACCTAGTTTTCTTCTAGTTGGCGGAGTCCATTCTTCTATTTTTTTTTGGCCATCTATTTTCCGGCATTCTCTGAAGGTGTGCATCCAGTTAAGTCTTTTGGCTTCGATTGTGTCTATTATGTCTAGATCGATTTCCATTTCTCTCCGAATATCTTCGTTTCTCACCCTATCAAGTCTAGTGAGCTGGCAACATCGTCTCCAGTAGTTCATTTCCATGGCCTTAATTTTTGATTTGTTTCTTTGGTTTATTTCCCAGAGTTCGGCGCCGTACAGTCCAATACTTTCTATTATTGTTTTATAAATTCTTCTTTTATTTTCTTTTGTTATTTTTTTATTCCATAATAGTCCGTGTAGCTGTCTGGTGGCTGATCTTACTTGGCCAATCCTGGAATGTATTTCTTCGCTACTTCCTGCTTTTGATGTTATTTGGACTCCCAAGTACTTAAAATTGTCTGTTGGTTTTATAGTTCCCATTTCGATTTGTAGGCTTTCTGGTTTTTCTCCTACAACTAAGTACTTAGTTTTTTGTATATTAATTGTGAGGCCCCATTTGATGTACTCATCTTCCAGTTTTCTAAGCATGTAGCTTATATCACTCTCGTCTTCAGCTAGAATGGCTTGGTCGTCAGCGAAATGTATCGTGTACAGTCTATCGTCTCCGATTGGGATGCCCATATTGCAGCACTTTCTTCTCCACAGTGAGAGTGCCTCATTTAGATATATTTTGAAGAGTGTAGGTGCTACGCAGCAGCCTTGCTTTAGGCCCTTACTAATAGGAATTTCTCTAGTTAATCTATTTCCAGTTTTAATGTTTGCCGTCATATTTTTGTAGAGCTGTTGTACTGCTTGTATTTTTTTTGCTTATTCCTTGTTCCATTGCTACCCAAAGCATTGAAAGTGGTACACTATCGTATGCCTTTGTCAGATCTACAAAGACTATATGAGTTGAAAGGTTGTGGGCTAATCTTTTCTTGATAACTTGCTTTAGAGAGAATATACTGTCCATGCAGGATCTGCCTGCACGAAAGCCATTCTGTTCTTCTACATCTGTCATCTCTTTTTCAATTTTATTTTTTATTATTTTTCCATACAGTCTTGAGAGTGAATTTATGACACTTAGCGCCTTATAGTTTGAACAATTCTTTCTATATCCTTTTTTGTATATGTTGTTAATATGTGCTTTTGTCCACTCCGGTGGTAAGTCGTGTCCATTATAGAATAAGGTGAAGACATACGCCAGTAATTCCCGTAACACTTGTGGGCTATGTTTTAATAATTCATTTGGTATACCTTGTGGTCCGCATGACTTCCCATTTTTTAGAGTTCGTATTGCATTCTCGACTTCCTGTACTGTTATTTCATCGTCTTCACTGCATTCCAGTTCATATGTTGTTGTACTGATGTTCGTGAATTGAGGTCTTGATTCAGTCAAAAGTTGTGAGTAGTGTTCGATCCAAAATTTTTCTTTTATTAAATCAATTCTACTTGTTTCTTTTCTGTTTGTTCTCAGATTTTTTACCGTTTTCCATGCTTCTCTTGATCTTGTTGACCCTATATATTTGTTGAGTTCTTCGCATTTAGTTTCCCAGGAAATATGTTTTAAACAAAACTTATATGTTTATTATGTATTGATCTTTTTGCTCTGTATCCATTCGGGTAGATATTTTTATAGTTTCCATTATCGCCTTTTTTATATATGGCCAATATAAAAAATCTATTGTGAATCTATATTTGTGATCTTATCTTTTTGAAGAAGATTAGTCAGTTCATTGTATCAACGACAAGTTGATGACTGCGCACTGTTAACTTTTAAACTTCTTTAATAAACAAAGTTTTAGATAGGTCTAGATTATTACAACTATCTTAATTATTTTGTTTTGTGAAATCAATATGAAAATAACTTAGATTTTAATCTGTTTGAAACAATTAAAATTTCTTCTCTTCATAACAACTTAAATATTTTTTTACATATGATTGATTATAAAAAACCAATTGAATAAAATGGGTCGGAGAGATAATACGAACGTCTGATAACATGATTGCTAAAAAGTTAACGGCAGGAATACCTATAGGAAGAAGAAGCAGAGGCCGACCGCGAATTAGGTGGTGGTAGGAGTTGAGACCTACTTAGTGGTACTAGAGATCAGAAGATGGCAATACTTTGCCAGAAACCAAACTAATCTTAGAGCAGGCCAGGACCCTTAGAGGATAGTCGAGCCAAAGATGATGATCAAGATGAATTGAATAAAGCACAAAGTAAATACAAAAATTATTAGTGTAATATAAGTTGCCTGTCACTTAGGTTCCGTTGAACTTTTATAACTCTATATAACATGGCTCTACAACGGTAGCGATGGCAACACTGCTTTATCATCTGTTTTGTGTCCCCATCAAAATAAAATTGACATTTCTGAAGTGTGATACCGAATTTGTGAACAATGCAGTTGTATTTCGATTTTTAGAGTGTTTATTTCCATGTTCGTACTTTTAATTAAATGGTAGTAACGTGGAGATTATTCATACAGACAATTTAGGAATTACAGTGAAATGACAGTGGATTGTTATCTTTATTATCGATAAAATTCATTCAGGATTTGTGAATTTTTAGTGTGATAAATTGCAAAAATGTCCAAGGTAAGTTTTTAACTAATTGTGGCAATAACAGTGATTTTTTGAGTTTATTGTTCATAAAAAATCCTTGAACTCTTTGTGCTCTTGTTTTGTTAAATACATTGTGTGCAAAATTACATTGTATTTAACAAAATTTTGTTAAATACATTGTGTGCATTACCGATGAAAGAAGCGAATTTCGTGAATTTTTAGAGAAGTTTTTAGCTATATACTTATTTAAATTGTTGAGTACTTTATTAAAAAATCATATTAATGCTGCACATACATGTTATCATATAATAACTACAGACTGGAGTGCTAATACCTCCAGTTGCAGTGATTATTAACCTACCAAACAGTTTCATTATAAAGACATTATTTTAATTTATTCATTATGTGTTAATATTCGAAATATTATTTGTACTCAGTGAGTCTATTCCACAATAATCAAGTCGCCTTCAGAGTTAATCATATTGTTATCAGTATCAATAATAGTCCAGTCAATGAACACCAAATTTTGCTAAAAACCAAAAAACTTTAAATCACACAAGAACAAAAATTTGGATACCTATAGGTAATTCAAGACATCTACAATAATTATATAAGGACAGGTTTACTTTTTAATTCACTGTGCAAAAACATTCGCGTTAAAATTCAGGATTTTTAAATTTTTTAAATGTTTTAAAAAGCAACTGCCCGTAGGTATTTTAAGTACCTGCGGGAGTACCTACTTGAAAAATCATTTACATTGTTTATCATTTAAATTGTTTAGATACATTTTAAATTAGAAGATTAAAAAAACATTTTTATTTATATACTTTTACAGGAATAAAGAAAAAAAACAAAATTTTTTTTTGAAAAATGATTGTAGGTACCTATATATATTCTAGATGTAAATTATCTTCTAAAACCTGTATCAAAATTTTCTTTGTCTGGATGCATTGTTCTTTCACAGGGCTATAAAAACAGCCACTCAAAGTAGACCAGTTCTTTTGTGACTCATATTTTGCAATTGTTTTTGTTTTGCAACAATTTCTTATTTATTGTTTTAATTTTAATACTAATCATAAATCAAATAAAATTGCTTATTTATAGCAATATATTTATTTTTTCACCATGAAATTTAACTAGATGGATAAAAATTCACAATTGACAATTAGTTAATAAAATTTGTAGGTTGTTTTAAAACTTGTTTAGATTTGCTCATGAAAAGCAAATCAATCATGATCTACACTAGTAGTATTATTTAGTTTTTTTCTGGTGATTTTGTAGGCCTTCTTCAATATTTTTCAGTATAATATACCATAGTGTGTAATTTATAGTTATAAAAATAAACCATTTGACATTCATATGAATTATTATCTGTATGCTTCAATCCGTGTCACTGGCAGGACAGATGAATTTGAAGTTGACCAATTATTTTTCCATAGGGTAAATAAATGAAGAGGCCCTTGCTGGAATTAAGTGTGAAGGGAAGGTTTGAAAAAAGTTTTATTTGTCATTTGTCTAATGACACAAAAAAATAATTGGAAATGTTTAAATAAGAGGAAACATTTATCACCTTATTGCAAATTTATACACTTATAATCTTCTTTTTATCTTATAATTTTCTTCTTTTTTTGTGTTTAGGAAAGTCTGTCTTTTGTCCTCTTGATAAACTTTTGCTGATTCTCTCAAGAATCTTAAAAATATGATCTTGCATACATCTCTCTCTCTCTCTACAAAGGCGCAACAGCCCAAATCGAGCCTTGACCTCCTTCAAACTATGCCTCCAGCCTTGCCGGTCCCATGTAGATCTCCAGGTTTTCACATCTAGCAAATTTTGCGCTTCCGCTGTCACTTTATTCTCCCACCTTTTCTGTGGCCTTTCTTTTGGTTTTGCTCCTTGCATTTTACTACCGAGGGCTTACTTGGCAATATTTTGGTCTCCATTCTCACTACATGAACAGTTGGTAGAGTTCATGGTTGTACCTGGATCTGAATACTCCGTTTTCGTTAATAGGTCCAAATCATCTATAGGACTTTTCTTTTGAAGATTTTTATTAGTCAGATAATAGTTTTGTAGACCCTGATTTTTGTTCTCCAGTGTGTGTTTTTGGAGTGGAACACAATTTCTTTCTATAAGACCAATAATGACATATGCCTCAGAAACAAGACCTGACACAGCCACAACACAAAGGCTACTGGGAACAGCAGAGATGAGAGTACTAAGAAGAATTACAGGAAATACACAGAGAGATCGAAAGAGAAGTGAAGAAATTAGAACAAAAGTAACATACAATGTTACTTTTGTTTACATACCTGGGAGTAGAAATATATACCGATGGAGCAGAGGATGGAGAAATACGAAAAAGGATAACGCAGGCAAACAAAGCTTATTTTGCCCTCTCCCATATATTTCGGTCTAAAAGTGTCCACCGAAATACAAAGATGAGAATATATAAAACTTTAATTCGGCCAATAGCATGTTATGGCAGCGAAGCATGGGTCCTGAAAGAAACATCCAAAAACAAACTCGACACATTCGAAAGAAAAGTACTGAGGAGAATACTAGGACCTGTGAGGGAAAACGGAATCTTCAGAATTCGATATAACAACGAGCTCTATCAACTGTATAAGGAAACACCCCTGTCAGACTTCATTAGAATACAAAGATTGCAATGGGCCGGACATGTGATACGAATGGGAGAGGATAGGCTACCAAAACGAGCACTGAACGCCAGAATGCAGGGAAAGAGACCAGTTGGAAAGCCAAGAAAGCGCTGGGAAGACACAGTAAGCAGCGACGCACAAGCACTTTTAGGAGTCCGTGTATGGAGAAGAGCAGCCACAGACAGACAAGGGTGGAGGCAAAAAATAAAGGAGGCCAAGGCTCATTTTGGGCTGTAGTGCCGTAGAAGAAGAAGAAGAACATACAATGTATAAACGTATGGCCAATAGAATGGAATGCCCACATAAACAGAATGGGGGAGAACCGTGTGGTCAAAATAGCAAGAGATAAATCGCCAATCGGCAGAAGAAGTATAAGACGACCGTGCAAAAGATGACAAAATTTTATAGAGCAAGCAGAATTGCTAATTAAGCGGAAGAAGAAGAAAAAGAGAAGTTTCTTTTATAATATTTTTTCGTATATGAGAAGAACATAATGGGGGAGAACCGTGTGGACAAAGTACCAAGAGATAAATCACCAATCGTCAGAAGTATTTTACGATCGTGCAAAAAATGAAGTGACAATATTTTATAGAGCAAGCAGAATTGCTAATTAAGAGGAAGAAGAAGAAAAAGAAAGTTTCTTTTATAATAGCTTTTGGTATATTTTCATAACGCTAAGCAGGATAATTGTTTTAAAGTTATTTCAATACCTATTATCGCCCTTATTCAGGATAGGTACAATCAAACCAATTTCACAGTCTGTAAGAACTTTTTAATTATATTAATTTTATGTTAATTTTATTTACACCACATATTTTTTCTCTATTGAGTATTGTGTCTTTCAGTGTTTGCCATACATTCTCCACATTTGGTTTGTTCTAGTCTCTTATTCCTATTTCTTCATTAATTGCTTCAGACTATTTATTGGCTATTATTTTATTTTTCAGTCGGTATGATTTTATCGTTTTATACTGATTTATTATGCCACTTTTTTTTGTATTTTCCTTTGGTTATTTTTATTTCCGGTTTTATTATTGCTACTCGCAGATAATGGTCGCTGTTTATCTTTTGTCCATGTATAACTGTTACATCAGTTATTTTCTTTCTGTTTTTATTTTCTGTCAGTATATAGTCTATTATGGACTTTTCTTCTATACTATGCTCTTCTTTTGTATAATTAAGTAGGGAAAACCGGGTGAATTCTGCACACCTAAGTGAAAATGCTTACAAAAGTTTCCTATGTTCACACAAACTTCCATAATTGAACTACTGAAACTTGTATCTATTGAGAATTCCCATAAAAATAGGTTTAAAGTTTTACGAATTTTGAAGAAAAAAATTACTCATTAAAAAAAAAAAATTAAAAAATAAAAAAAAACTGTCATTACGCGGAAGTCCCCTAAGTGTTTACTACATAACTTAAGACTTTAAATAAAACTGTTATTTAATACTTTGTAAAAATATAAAAACTTAATTGTTTACAATAATAAAACAAAATTTAATGTTACAAATATATATATTAACACAATAACATGTTGTTTGTCAGAAGTCTTGAAGCAGAATGTCTTTTCGGACAGGAGGGCTGCTTTCAGCCAGATATTAAAAATCCTCCTTTTCAGACAGTTTCGTTATCTTCACGATAAGCCGTGACCGTTCGCTATCCTATCTTCGCGACAAGCTGTCGCCGAGATCAAATTTTGCAAACGACTGACGTCGTCAGGTTATTTAGGTTTTAATATAAGTTGCCCCATTTGAACGTCATAAGGTGGTTCAAAAACCCAAATGTATAAAGCCCACAAAGCAATATAGAGCTGAAATTGTAAAGGTTATCAAAACACAAAAAACAATTTTTTGTGTTTTACACTGCACAATTCCGTCACTGCTGGAATGAATGTCAGTCATTCTTCCTAAGGCCCATCTAAGAGGTTCCAGCCCATCTTCTTTAACAAGTACTAAGAAACCAATCTTCAGAAAGAAACTGCATGGTTTTCTCCACTTGACACGTTGCTGAAGAGAAGAGACGTATTCTTTGGACCATCATGTCCAATAACACTGCACCATTTGCTGCACGCTTTGAAATCTACTCATTCTGTTTTCCATAGCATCTAACAGATTGCGGTCAGGAACTGACTAGTCAGACTACTCACAACCTCCAAGAGTATAGCTTTTTTGTCAGACAAATAAAAAGTGCTACACAACCGTTAATAGTTTTGTAGTTTCTCGTAAGACGGTCCTTTAAAGAAAAGGGTTTCGCGTAATCAAGTCCCGATTGGGTAAAGGGTCGTGAAGGAATAAGGCGTGAAGAAGGTAGAATACTCATTAAATAACTTGCGTTGCGTAACTGAGTTACCGTTGATAACTACCCATCTTCC